TTTGTCCCAAAGTGTTCGATGGAAATATGACCACTTTGTACCCTCTTCTTCACAGCTAGGAACTTAATGTCAATATGCGTTGACTTAGACGAGCTCCTATGGTTGGTGGAGTACAGAACGGCTGATTTATTGTCACAAAAGATCTTGATAGGTCTTTCAACCTATGAAATAATTCGCAGCCTTATGACAAAGTTCCTTAACCATATTCCCTGGTTTGATGCCTCAAAACACGCCACAAACTTAGCTTCAATAGTGGAAGTGGTAACAAGTGTTTGTTTAGCAATACGCCAGGAAATGGCACCACTAGCCAACATAAATTAGTACCCAGACGTAAATTTCCTACTGTCTTGGCACCCTACATTCGGAGTCAGAATATCCAACGATCTCCAAATAATCTGATCTCCTATATGTGAGCATATAATCCTTAGTTCTCTTAAGGTATCTCATCACCCTTTTGGCTTCTTTCCAGTGATCCAATCCAGGATTACTAAGGTATCTACCTAATACTCCAACTATGTACGCAATATCCGGATGCGTACATACTTGAGCATACATTAGACTCCCAACTACTGATGCATAAGGGACCCTTTGCATTTCCTGGATTACCAAATTTCCCTTTGGGCATTGACTTAGGCTAAATTTATCACCTTTAACCACAGGGGTATTTCCTGGTTTGCTATTCTGCATGCCAAAACGGTCAAACACTTTATCCATATAGCTCTTTTGTGATAACCCTAGAATACCTCGAGACCGCTTTCGGTGTATCTGGATTCCTAATACAAAAGACGCTTCACCAAGATCTTTCATTTCGAAATTATTCGAAAGAAATTTCTTAGTTTCGTGCAACAGCCATATATCATTTGTAGCAAGCAGAATGTCATCCACATACAAAACCAAAAAAATAAATTTACTCCCACTGAACTTGTGATAAACACAATCATTGACATTCATCTCAAAACCATACGAGATAATTATTTGATGAAATTTGTGATACCACTGTCGAGACGCTTGTTTGAGTCCATAGATGGATTTTCTTAATTTATAAACCATTTTCTTTGGGTCATTGACCTTAAAGCTTTCTGGTTGTACCATATAGATCATCTCATCAATGTCACCATTGAGAAACGTTGCCTTTACATCCATCTGATGTAACTCCAAATCCAAATGTGCCACTAGAGCCATGATTGTTCTAAAAGAGTCCTTCGAAGATACTGGAGAAAGGGTCTCTTTATAGTCAATTCCTTCCCTTTGAGTATATCCTTTAGCCACAAGACGTGCTTTATACTTCTCCACATTACCATTTGCATCCCGTTTGGTCTTAAAAATCCATTTGCAACCAACGGGTTTTGCACCTTCAGGCAACGGGACAAGTTCCCAAACCTTATTGTCTTGCGTTGACTTATACTCTTCACGCATCGCTTCGATCCATTTATATGAGTTGGAATACTTCATGACTTGTTTGAGATTGATCGGATCATCATCATTCAAGTCACCACATCCTCATTTTCTTGAAGAAATACCAAACAATCATCCAGAATGGCATTTATATGTTCTCGGGTGGATCTCCGCAAATGCGTTGGCTCTTGAACTGTATGTTCTTGAGTTTGTTGAGTTTGTTCTATAGGTACATGTTGAGGTTCAGGTTCACAATGAACAGCCTCCTCAATTGTATCTTGAAACTGTATGGGAGCTGGAATGACTATTTCCTCTTGAAAAATCGGGTCAACCACTTTGGTGATTTCTTGATCCTCAAAATTAAAGTCTGAAACTGTATTTCTCCCCCCAAACTCAATATTCTCAAAGAACGTGGCAGTGCCCATCTCAAAAATATCTCTTGATGTGGGATCATAAAATTTATACCCCTTTGAACGTTCCGAGTAACCAATGAAATAACTGCTCACTATACGAGGAGCTAGCTTTGGTTCATTTGGCTTATAAGGCCTCGCCTCAGCTGGACAACCCCATACCCTAAAATTCCGTAAGCTAGGCTTGAGCCCAGTCCATAGTTCATAGGGTGTTTTAGCAGTCGCCTTAGTTGGTACTCGATTTAGGATGTAGACTGAAGTCTTTAGTGCTTCCCCCCACAAAGATCGTGATAAAGTATATTGACAAATCATACTTCAAACCATATCCTTTAATTTGCGATTTCGTCTCTCAGCAACACCATTCATGCTAAGCGAACCTAACATAGTATACTGAGGAACTATTCCACACTCCTTAAGGAAGTCAGCAAATGGGCTCAGACGTTGTTCACCAGATCCATCATTTCTGCCGTAATATTCACCTCCACGGTCAGATCTGGCGATCTTAATGCGTTTGCTGAGTTGATTTTCAACTTCAGCTTTAAATGATTTGAACATGTCCAAGGCCTCAGATTTTTCCCATATGAGGTATAGATAACAATATCGAGAATAATCGTCTATGAATGATACAAAGTATTGTTGACCATTCTACGAAGGTGTAGGAAAAGGCCCACAAATATCCGTATGTATCAACTCTAAGACTTCCATAGCTCGATAAGCACATATCCTCTTTATTTTGGTTTGTTTACCTTTAATGCAATTGACACAAACATCAAAATCCGAGAAATTAATAGAATCAAGAATTTCATCCTTAATGAGTCTTTCAACTCTATTTTTCGAAATATGACCCAATCGTTTATGCCATAGCAAACTTGATTCATCTAATTTTCGCTTAGTACCTTTTGATTCCACATTGAGGGTTTCATTATAGGAAATTATAGTATTTAGCATATACAACTTATCATTTTCCATATAAGTACCAAAACCAACCACATTAGAATTAAAAGACAATACAACCGTATTGTTTCCAAATGAACAATAATAACCAGATTTGTCCAAATAAGAAACAGAAACCAAATTCCGTCCAAAAGACGGTATAACAAAAGTGTCTTTCAATTCCACAAAATATCCAGTACCTAATAATATTTAAATATGCCCACAGCTACCACATCCACCGATTCACCATTTCCAAAGTAAATGCATATTTCAGCATCAGTTGGTTCTCGGTGGCTCAGGAAACCCTGCATTGAAACACTGATCTTAGTAGTTGAACCGGAGTCTAACCACCAAGTGTTTCGAGGTACTGAAGCTAAATTAACTTCAGAACAAACCAGATTAAAAAATGTACCTTTCTTCACGCGCCAGGCGGAATACTTAGCACATTCTTTCTTTAGGTGTCCAGATTTCTTGCAAAAGAAGCATAGAATCTCCTCCGATTTTACCTTTGGATTTGGACCCTTAGTAGTCTCAATAACGGCCTTATGTTTTCTTTTAAAGCCACCATTATCTTTCTAGGTACCAATCATATGTACTTCCTCAACCCTTTTATGCTTTATTCTTTCTTCTTCCTCAACACAGTGTGAAATGAGCTCATTGAGAGTCCACTTCTCCTTTTGGCAGTTATAAATGACCTTAAACTGCTCGTATTGAGTAGGAAGAGAGAGCAGGACCAATAGGACAAGCATGTCCTCCGAAAGGTCTAACTTTAGTGCCCTCAACTTAGAAGTTATATTGGACATCTTGAGGATGTACTCCCTTATGTTGCCTTTGCCGAGATACCTCATGGTAATGAGTGTCTTTAAAAGAGTACTCATTTCCGCCTTATCGCTTTTGGTAAAGCGCTTTTCAATCTCGACAAGGAACTCTTTAGCCAAAGTGATATCATCAGATATCGTTCCTCAAAAAATTTTTGGAATGCTTTTCTTTATGATCATAAGACTTAGGCGATTAGACCTTTCACACCTCTCAAAGCACTAATTTTCCTCAGTAGTGTTGTTCTCCGTAAGAGAAGTAGGTTGGTTTATCCTTAATGCCAAGTCTAGATCCATACAGCCCAAATGAATCAAATTGATTCTTTCCAATTCTTAAAGTTATCCCCACATAACGTGGGGACAGGATAATTGGTAGATAGCATAGATGAAGAACTTGATGAGAATAATAAACAGAAGTGTTCACATTATTTTCGGTCTATATAGCAATTTATTTAATGAGGATTGACTGATTGTTGTATCGGATTTCTAAAAGTTGGGAATATATAGTTGCTCTGATAAATTTTGAATTTTTGCCCCCGAAATCCAATATGAAGTTGCTCTGATACCAATTGTTAGAATTGGATTTAACTTTATTCGAAATAAATCGATTAATCCCCAGAACATTCATATTGAATAATTGAGAATCATAACTGAATAGCGGAAGCATACCACATGTCGATTGATTGATTGGATTTGGGATTTTTTGAAATCTTCCAAAAGACTGTGATCCTTATTTTCTTCTTCTTTTAATTCCTGATGGATGTATGAAAGGAAAATAAAAATTGCTTGAAGAAATGATACTCCTTCCCCCCTTATTTATTGATGGTTTTGTCTCGGCATCCACTTAATGGAAAGTGTTATCTACCACACCTACCACACTTAATGCAAAGTGTGTCAGCAACCACCTTTAATTTTTAATTCCTTATGGGTTATCCTAAGGGGCATCACTTTATTTTAACAGCTTTTAGGGACTCCACCCATAAATAATATCGACTCAAATTATATTTATTTAAGTCCTTTAGTGTAATATTATTATTTGTTACGTCACCAAATCATAAGATTACCGGATGTCCACTTTAATCATTCCACAATTTAAATTAAGTTCTTTAGCCAATGTACAATAATTTGATCACTTAATTTGCCTAAACAATATAACGACTCAATGTATTCATTACACATATTTAATCCCAAATAGATCTAACAATATCCACTTCTTTATCTCAACGAGAAAACTAAAAAAAAATAACCAATTTATCTAATTTTTCATCTCTATTTTCCAACGATTTTCTTTTT